TAGACAGTGAAAACTTAATGAAGACAACTCAAATAAGCGAGGTTAATTTAGAAGCCATGTGAATTGTAAGTGATAGAGAAAAAAATGTTGGGATGTATGTTAAATAGTATCTTCATTTTTAGGATATAGATTATTTTAAGCGCACAATTAAAAACTAGTTCTAGCTTTGCTAAAATATTCCAAAAATACATTTTCGAAGATATTTCGGAAATGAAGTTCCGAAATATTTTAAGTCATTAAAATGTGATGTAACTAAAAAAATAAATGATTTGTGTTGCATGAGGTGTGTCCGGAGATGCATCTCCAAAATTTGAGGGGCATTTTCAAATTTTCATGTGATGCCTAAGTAGTATATAAGGTGTATTAAGAAATCTCCTTTATCTTGCCGCCACATATTTTAACTTGGCATCTCCATATATTTTCGTAATACATTAATACCTATATTATTTTTGTTAAAATTTTGTCAAAAAGTTTGGGCGAAAAGTTTTGTAGAACAAGTAAAAAATTCAATTCAATTCAAAAAAAACATGATAGGGTATATAAAAAATCTGATAAGTGGAGTAACATACCAGTTTTTTGAAAAGTACTTATCTTTATCATATTTTTTGAGTAATGGTGAAAAATCTGATAGTTTAAAAGGTACTTTTTTTTCTCCAAAAACCATCTTTCACATACTGGATTTTTAGTGGATTTGTTAAAAATCTAGTAGTGTAAATTGAAGGGTTGATATTTTGTCGACAGTTTTACACAATTGTGATTGCACAATTATTTTGTGTGATCGAAAATGAATCTAAAGTTGTATAAACAGGGGTCATGTGTTGTTAAGAAAAACATCTTACAATACATCAACTTTTGTTTAAGACAGAAGTGTACTTCAACCGGGTGAAACCTCCTATAGAATTTTAGCCCCCGAAGGACACCACATGTATCACTATTCTGATATTTAAGTTGAATAATATGTTGCCCCACACAGAGGACATAAAGATGAGTAAGATTGAGTTTCTTGCACCATGGATTGATATTTATGGAGGATGAAATACAATTGTATTGAGTTGAAGAGTGATGAAGATTAGAAGGTTATGTGGATAACATATCACTGTAGACTAACTAAGGGACCGATCGAGTTTGATGCGACCATTACTAGATATGTCGACGATATAATCAAGATGTTGAAACAAAGTTCTTTGTACTCTCAAGTTTTTTGTGCCATAACTTAGTTTATATATCTAAAATGTCATCCATGGTGTCTGGAACATGTTCAACATTCTTGTGGGAGGTACAAGCAATATGAACAAGAATATTAGGCTCGCCACACCAAACTTCTCGATGATGCCTTTGAGAATTCTCATTCCACTATGGATCTATATGTTGGTGATATAGTTGTCTACCATATAATTTACAATAGTACAATGGAATTAAGGAGATAAAATTAATGCATTGGTACTCATGTGTGACTGAATGTTAAGACATGTTACCTGACATTGTGCATTTTGTTTTATGAATAGGAGTAACACACATATTCTTTGAATTTAATGATTCACCAGTATGTATAACACCTTTCATGTCTTTGAAGGTCATAACATTATTTGCTTAATCATATCCACCTTCTTCATCATTGGTGATTGGTGACATTATAGATTTTTCTTCACTTTGTTTCCTTGAAAATCTCGAGCATCCAGCTTGAATATATCTAGAATCTTTGCATTCAAGATATTGGATCCAATTGAGATTTACACCGCCTATTCCTTTGCGTTGAAAGTTATGCCTATTGAAATTGTGTCACTGATTGTTTTGAACATTTGTAGAGACATTATTCTCATATCTAATATCTAGTTTTCTCATGACTTTACTAAAGATCTTAGTAAGCCTGATATTTTATTCAGTACCATAATTGTCTTCACAATGTTCACAATTATCTTCAAATCTATTATTTGGAGGATTTTTAACATCATAAATAATCTCTGGTTGATGACCTGTTTCTCCTTTGAAATTATCCATCTTAAACATAATAAGAACCCTAGAACACACCCAAACAGAACAAGGTGTCTACTCTAATACCAATTGAAATTTTGTTCTCATGATGGACACATATTGTACCAGATGTCTAAGCCAATGTGTTCAACATCTTAAACCATAATTAATATATAATAGAAAATAGAATGATAAATCATAAAGAAAATAAAGAACACAAGAGAATCGTTAACCCAGTTCATTGCAACAACACATATATCTGAGGGGATTCTAACACAAGAAAGGAAATCCACTATCAACAGTATTAGTACAGAGTGCCTTAGACGAACAACTCTGGTTCAATGCCCCTCTTCTTAATACTACATGTGTTTCTCTACTCAGAGCTCCTTCTAAATATGAGAACCCATTTCACTTTTTCTCAACCACTAACCCTAGAGATAAATACAATAAATAATTTAAGCATTATGAATTACAACTCAACTAATATCAACCTATATGCTTTATATTCACTTTAGGCTTCTTATAGAGGTGTACGAAAACAAAAAATTACAAAGACTCAAAGAACTAAACCCTAACACATTAGATCTTCAATATATGTGCTCTTTTCAAACGTTAGGTTCAAGTCTTCACAAATAACAATGCAACTTCTGGGCTTTTTCTCCAATGGGTATAAGATTTGATCACATACAAATGTGTAGAGGATTCTGTTTTGATTTGTTTTTCTAAAACCTCCAATAAAAAAATTTGATTTGTTTTGATTCTAATTTGAATATCCAAATAATTAGATTTGATCTTATTCAATATGCCAAACGAATCTAATTAACACATTGCTAAAAGATAACAACAAATCTAATTGAAACACAACCAGATTTTTTACTCATAACAACAACAACAACCATGGCCTTATGTTGCATATATACTAGAACATTTGGCCTTACATCTGTCCACGTAACACAATTCTGAAGCTTGAACAAATCAAATAAAATCTTTAATTTATATAAATCACAAATCCAACTTCTCAAGTAAATGATTCATAATAAAACTCTTGTCAAAACTGAACCAAACTTTAAATCATCTTTAATAAAGTTTCGAGATTTTAAAAATAAATACAATAGAATCTCTTCATAAAAAATAAATCTTCAATCAATATATTTACATATAAATTTCAATACAATCTTGAATAAACTAAATTTGAAACAAATCTTCTTTCGAAGCATATTCAAATAAATTTTTTCCTTCAAAGGAAATTCAATCAAATTAGATATTTTTATTTGAATAAAACATTTTCCAATTTGCTTTGAATTACCAAGCTTCTTGCAAAAGCAAACTTCTACATCTTTTAAATAAATTAACACCAAAACAAATATGAAGATAATCAGAACTCAATTTGTACGTCAATATGTCACACAAAATGTGCTGAACATCTTGCTCAACAAGTTACTTACAACTAAATCTTTCTGTCAAGCACTTTAACAGAAACTTTGCATGATCAAATCTTTTTAAAAACAAACACAATCACACTCAAATTTATCCATGAAATCTCGCTAACAAATTATGGCTAAATATTACATCTCGTGCTGAAACATTTAGTCCTACATCATGAAGCATGCTCACAATTAAACATCTTGTACCATCCATATTATTTTACTAAAAATAAACAATCAAAGAAACAACAATCAATAAAAATTATCTCAGATAGATCTCTAAATAGTACCATGTTGATCATTACCTGTATATCAAATATGATATATAATTATTAATAATTATATTGAACTTTGTCTTAACTCTATATCTTATACTCCCTCTGTTTTTTTTATAAGTCGTTTTAGACTTTTTACATATACCAAGGAAGTTATTAACTTTTGTTAATTTTGTAAATATATTATAGGATATTCCAATATTATCCTTTTTAAAAACACTCAAAATCTCTTGTTTCAAAATATATCAGATTAATCATTATGATTTGTCGATGGAATATCTAAATTGCATTTATTTCAATATATTCCATGAATAAAACATTAAATTAATTAAATTTATATGTGTCTTTTTCTATCCTACACTAATTCCTTATTTTTCTCCCTCTCAAATTTTCCATCACTCACCAAAAGATACGCTAAAGCACTCTGGGAGAAAAAATTAAGATTCTTTTTTGTTAAATTTTTCCCTCCAAATTCTTATGGCTCTTCATTAAAACTCGAGAATTCACATTGAGGAGAGATATTTCTGAGTTTTAATTGGGAGTTAATATATTCTTACGAGAGAGGAATTTTGAAAAAATCACAAATTAATATAGAGTTTTATGAGAGGAAGACTTTTTCTATAAAAAGTTGGACTAATGCATTGAAAAACAATATTCATAATGTCACTCTGCATTGGAATACAAGATTCACTGAATTATGAAAATTATAGAAAAAAGAGATGAATTAGAGGTATTTTAGGAAGAAAAAAATTAATTCTACATAGAAATTACAAAACGACTTATATTTTGACACAACTTTTTTTCCTCCAAAATGACGTATAATTAAAAACGGAGAGAGTATTTCTTAAGATCTAAAAAACAAACATGCATCCATAACATAAATATATTGGGTCAATAAACTATTCCCGTGCTTACTCACAGATCTATTACTAGTTTTTTATTTTATTTTTTATTTTATATATTTTAAAGTAAATATATTGGACTTTTATTTTATCAATGTAAGAAATATAAAAATAAAAATAAAAAAGTAAAATATAAAATTATTAACTTGTTTTTGAAAAAGTAGTTTTAATTATTTGAATGAATAAAATGATTGTAATCTAATAATTTATGGAATTAAGACATATAAATCGTGTTGTCAAAAAGAAAAATATTTAAATTAACAAAAAGTTTAAATTAAGCCTAGATTTAGATTCATTAAATTCCACCGTGTAGACTATTTGTAAGCGAAGATCGGGGATTTTGTTCTTCTCCTTCTCCCATTAACTACCATGAAGAAGTGAAGAAAGCTGAATTAAAACAATCTCTCTGTCTCTCTCTTCGACGAATTATGATAGCAATAGCAATGGTAGTGATTAATCTGATAAAAGATTTGTGGCGGGGTCTCCATTTCGTTCTATCGATTCAATTCTGGAGAATGGCGTTGCTATGGACACTTTCTGTTCTATTTTCTCACTTTCAATTGCTTAAGGATTCGCTCTTTTCTCACAAAATCGTATATCCCAGATGTTCATCTTCCATGTTTCCTAATACTCCCGTTTGCGTCATAACCGGTGTAAATCTCAATCTCTTGAATTTTCATCATCATTATTATTACTGTGAGAATTATATGATTTCTTGTTCTTGTTTTTGCAGGCAACATCTGGTTTGGGATTTTCTACTGCATGCAAGATTTCCAAGGAAGGATTTCTTGTTGTCATTGGTAATTCTTTATTCTTTTTTAACATCACGTTAGAAAAATACCAAAATAGCTTAGGTCCATTTACTATTACTGTGAGTTTGGTTCTGCGGCGATGAAAATTGATTTTTAGGGAATTGATTCTGACCGGTTTAACTTTTGGAATAGGTAAAAACAATTCTAGAGGTGTTTAATTGATTTTGGAATGATATTGGAATAATTTTGAGGTGTTTTGTTATTCTAAAGTAGAATAATTGATATTTCCTCTAGGATTGATTCTACATGAAACTAGAATATGTAGCTTTTGAGTTTAAAAAGAATTTTTATACTAAAATTTGTTGTTCAAATGTATCCAAATATAAATTATTTTAAATTCAACTTACTTTTAACCAGAATCAATTCTACAAAATCAATTAATTCATAATCAGTTCTCGTCAATGTAGAACTAAACACAATTAAAGTGAGTTGAAGATAAAAGTGATTTATGTTTTGGATAAATTCTTCTGAAAGTAGTTGAACTATATAGATTAGTGTAAAAATCATGTTTAGACTCAAAAGTTACAAATATTATCTTCTAGTAGAATCAATTTTGTAAAGCATAATCAAATCTATTTAAAAGCTATCAAACGTGTCAAAATCAGTTCTGCACGTTCATAATCAATTTTGGGTGCTCCAAACATGAAACCAAACAACATACACATGTGAAAATATTTTTTACTTTTATTTCTTAAAATTTGTGTTAATTTTTTTTCTAACAAGGAGATACTAGATTTTTTTGGTTAAATTGATTTGAGATACACTTACTTTTATTTTTTCTCAAATTTTATCTGTAGCGGTGTTGTGTGTCTGACTTGGTGCTTTATAGATTGGGCTAGGCTTTTTAGTGGAATAAATTTACTTGGGATTTATCCAACAAAAGAGCATTCAAAAGACTATATGAAAATGCGTAAAAAAAAAAAAGACTATATGAAAAAATGAATTGCTACTTGCTAGCATTCTTCTTCTAGTTTATGTAATGTATATCTAAGATTCCTGTTGTTAATTATGCAGTTGGAAGATCAGAGAAGTTGTTATCAGAGGTATTTTTGTATATTAATTATTAGCATCATGGTAACATGATTCCATGCCTTATTAATATCTTATTGGTGTTCTTCCCGTTGTTTGGTAGACCGTTAGAAAGATCAAAGATTTGAATGAGGATGCCCAACTCAAAGCTTTTCAGGCTGATCTTTCATCGGTTGAGTCTATTATAAAGTTCAAAAATTCTCTGAGGCAGTGGCTTTTGGATTCCAATTTGCACTGCTCGGTGCAAATACTAATAAACAATGCTGGAATACTTGCTACATCTCCTAGAGTCACGGCTGAGGGATACGATCAGTAATTACTTTTTTCCTAAATCTCGTGTGGTAGTGTTAACAAATTCTATCTTTATTATTGGAACTTCCATGCTCATGCTTGCCTTGCATAACACAACAAAAGGCACATAGGACTCCTATGATAGAACATTAACTTTCAAATAATATTACTTTCTACTGTTAATAATTTATTTAAGCTTTGGGGATATGGTAATAGGTATTTGTTAAATGTCAAAAAATTGAGACAGTGTTGATTTGAATGATCACCATGAATTTATGGAACTGGAAATTGAGAAACACAAATAGCATTGTTTGTATGCACAGTTGATGCATTTTTTATGAGAGCCTTTGATACAAGATTATTTATCTGTTTTAAAATTAGTAGTAACTTTTAAATCCACACATTTTACACTCTTTCTCCCAGGATGATCGGCACAAATTATGTTGGCGCATTTGTTTTGACCAAGCTTCTATTACCACTTCTTGAAAACAGTCCTGTGTCTTCCAAAATTGTGAACGTAACATCGTTTACTCACCGAGCTGGTAGGATAATCATTTAAGTCCTTATTTATTTATATTATTGTCTGGTGATCCCATTCTGTGGGTTTTACCGTCTTATATAAAATATCTGTTAGACTTTCTCTAGAATAGCGCTCCTAAAGAACGTTCTCAAGCTCTTTTCTTCAGTTACTAATATGCAGGTTGATGAGGGAGCTGTATCTGGAAAGAAATTTTTAAGTTCAAAGCATTATCGATATGCTCAGGTCTATGAGTACTCAAAACGTAAGCTGCGTATTCTGGATGAACTTATACAGACTACATTATATCTTTAGTCCTAATTCCTAATTAGCATTTAATTTTGTTGAAGTATGTGTACTTCTCTTCTCATTTGAGCTCCACCGACAGCTTACCCAAATGGGTAAATCTCATCAGATATTTGTCAAGTATGTTTATTAAATCAACTATAATTTCCTTTTGCTTTCTTGTTTCTAAGTGCTGTGTATATTTGTAAAGATATAACATTTGTTTTTGTATAGATTAACCAACCAATGTATTACTGTTATGTTTGTCGCTCGAATATGTTCGTCTAATTGCGTCCATTACTTGACTACAAAGTTATGTTTCCCAAGTCTCTTTTCTGCACAACACACAGGCTCTTGCTTTTGGAAAATGCATATGCCCCAATCTGGACACTGTTTTGTCTGCTAATCTCATGCTAGACCTGTAATTCTTTTACGGTTCTGAACTTTCAATTAAAGACTGAGATCTGTTCTGCACCCCTCTCTTGTTAAGGATACTTTCACAATCTTTGGCTCCCAACAGGGAACATGCCCTGCCCCTGCTCCCAACCAAGCTACAACTACCTAATCATCCAATTAGTTTGACAAAAAAATGTTTAAGCCGGAGCAGCTACACTCTTATGAAATCTCACCTGTACACCTGTTGTTGGGTTTAGACCTAGTATTGCACAAATAGCACCGATAAGAGTGAATTTGGGTTTGAGCTAGTGTTGCAAGGAGAATCAACATAAATAAAAATTAGACAGGAAAATAAAGTTTGCTAGAAAAAGAGAGAGATGCAAAATGTTTTAAGTTTTGTAGATAAAGCTTTATTTTATTTTTGGTTATAACCATGGATTCTACTCCACTTTTAACATTATTTATTGTTATGCATCAGTGTTGCAGATCCTGGAATTGTAAAAACAAACATCATGCGAGAAGTTCCAGCATGCTTGTCTTGGTTGGCATACTTTATCCTGAAACGCCTACGCCTATTGCAATCCCCTGACTGCGGGAAAGATCCGATTATTGATGCTGCTTTTGCATATCCTGTGAGTACATTTTTAGCGCTTTTTTCTTATATCCGTTTCACATTTTCATGCATGCTTTGATGTTTCAAAATGACCAAAGGTGTTGGCTACCAACTCATTTACTTATTATACCATCAAGCTGTAGTCATGTCTAAGGTTTCATTTGATGCAATATCTCCTGATGCCTTATCCTCAATGACTGGTATATCATATGAATTAGTCTTGACTGGAGCCATTGAGTTCAAAATGTTACTCTTAAATTTTTCCAGGGAACATCAGGAGCTTACTTTTTTGGGGGGAAAGGTAGAACTATAAACCCTTCAGCACTTTCACGAAACGCCAAAATAGCACACGAGCTTTGGGAAACTACATGCAATATGCTATTGGTGACTCCCTTTGGTAATGAGAGAAACAGTTTTTAACATTGGATTGCATGTCAAGTCGTGTAACAAAGAGAATTAGTGGCACACTTACCTGATGTAGATGTGAAATAAGTGATAACATATGCAGTTTTGAGCTTTCTAACCTATCGCTTAGCTGACAATTTATTGGCATTTCTAAAATCACTGGTTAACAGGTATCTCAATTAATTTGCACGTTTGTTTTATGATTTCAACACCCTGCTACTGCTTGAAGAAATAAAGAAACACTGCAATGAAAGTATTGCTAGTGATTATTGCATAAAATTGTTCACTCTTGATATCACAAGATTATGTTTGCAAATTTAGTTAGAATCAGGTTACTTTCATTTTTAATATCCAATTGAATAAAAATAAGTTTGATGAGTGGTTTTTAGTTACATGTCTTCTTTTAAAAGTTAGGCAAGTTGTTTCACTTTTCAAAGTTTGATTTAAGTATTTTCACTATCGGAGAAGTATTATGTATTTTCCAATTTCAAATTACTCAGCAGGTGATGAATAAGTTTGTCAACAAAAAAAAAAACAATCAAACATATGATTAATAAAATTAGGATCTAGTTGAACAAGAAATGTTGGGTGAATTGATAAAGTTATACTAGTACATCGTGATTTGGAAAATTCACTTTCAATCCAAACAAATCTACAGCGGCTCCTCATAGCTTTGAGGCAGTCATTGCCACCTTTTTCTTTATGAGGAAATCAATATCTTTTAAATATCAACTAATATAGATTTTTTCTAATACTCCTCCGTAGTCGAAGTGAGAGGGGGACAAATGTGAGACTATCTTTGAAATTTTAAAATAAGATGAAGGGAAGATTTTTGGTGAAGATATCCGCAATTTGATGTCTTAATGGAACGTGAAGGACGCGAATTTGACCTCGAGATACCTTTTCACAAACGAAATGAATGTCTATTTTTATGTGTTTCGTTCGTTGATGTTGAACTGGGTTACCTGAAAGGTATATGACACTTACATTGTCACAATAGAATAGACTATGGTGACCTTGTGAATAGGACAATGTAACTCGAGTAGAAGGTTATGTAATCATTGTCACAATAGAATAGACTATGGTGACCTTGTGAATAGGACAATGTAACTCGAGTAGAAGGTTATGTAATCAACATGATTTAGAGACCACATTGGCAACTTAACGGTATTCAGCTTCAGCACTAGAATGAGATAAGGTGGGTTGCCTCTTGGATGACTATGAGAGTAGATTATCTTCAAGAAAGACACAATAGCTAGAGGTAGAACGTCTAATATAAGAGCATCCTCCTCAACCAACATTTGTATATGAAATTAAAGAGTGGTGGAAGAAGGGTAAAGATGTAAACCATAGTGTATGGTGCCCTAAATGTATCGCAATATGCGTCAGAGAGCATGCATGTGTGCTTCCATCGGATTGTGCATGAAGAGACATATTTGTTGAACTGCATATGAAATATCAGGTCTAGTGAAAGTGAGGTATTGAAGAGCCTCTGCAAGACTATGATAGAGTGATGGTCCTCATATGGAACACTATGTGTAACACTCATCTTTGATTTTGTATCAACTGGAGTGGGACATGATTTGCAACAAGACATGTCAACTCGTGTAAGAATTCTGTCGGCATACTTTTTATGTGAGAGGAGTAAGCCATGTGGGTGGTGAGTGACTGCAATACCCAAGAAGTAGCTTAGTTGCCCGAAATTCTTCATAGCAAACTCTGAACTAAGAAGGGAGATTATAGATGTCTTCGGGGTGTCAGAGGATGTGATAAAGATGATATCATCAGCATAAAGTAAGAGGTAGGCCATATGAGTATTTTTCTTGTATAAAAAAAGAGAATGATCACACTTGCTTTGAGATAAGTCAATGGATGAAACATAGTCGACAAATCTCTTCTACCAACCTCTATGAGCCTGTTTAAGCCCATATAAATATTTGCGTAAAAAACACACATGATCAGGACGCGCTGGACCCTTGAAGCCCAATGGTTGATACATGTATACAATTTCTTTCAATTCACCGTGGAGAAACGCATTCTTGACATCCAGCTTATGAATATGGCAAGAATTTGAGAGAGCAATACTAAGAACTGCGGATAGTAGCTGGTTTGACAACTGGGCTAATGGTTTCTCCAAAATCGATGTCAACTTGTTAACCTGCACCATCATCTAGAAGTCGGGCTTTATGCCTCTTAAATGAACCGTTAGATTTTTCTTTATGTTGGAAAATCCACATGCATCAAATAACATTAACACCAGGTGATCGTGGTACTAAATTCCACGTCTCATTTTTAACTATAGAATTATATTCGTCATTCATGGTCATCTTCCAATTTAGGTCCTAAAGTTTAGACACTGGGTTTTTAGGGAGAGGTGATTTTGTAACATGGGTATGTAAGCTCTAGTACTCTTGGTTGGGTTTAAATATGCCATGTTGACTCTTAATGACTGGTTTTGTGTCTGTGCGTGAGGTAGGTTGGAAAATTAAAGGAAGGTTATTTGGTTTAGTACTTCCAAGGTCTGAGTGTGTAGAAAGAGGTGAGAAAAGTGATGTTGGGTTTGAGTTGGGCTGGTTTGAGGTAAGAAGAGGAGAGGCGAGCCGCACGAGTGAGCTCGGAGATGGAGGGGGTGAGATGTATAAGTTCGATGTGTGTTCTGGAGTAGGAGGTGGGGTTTGGGTTGGTGAAGTGACCAGTGGGATATTTGGAGGCTTGGTATGGGTATTAGACATTATGTGGTTTGTAATGTAGAGGGACAAATCATCGTCTAGGAAGATGTATGTCGTAGGATGAGGGTAGTGCAACTTTGCATAAGGAAGTATGGTTTCATCAAATAAGACATGATGGAAAATAATGATTTTATTCAAAGACAAATTTAGACATTTCTAGCCTCAATGATTTGATGGATACCCAAGAAAGACACATGGTATGAATCGAGGTTGGAGTTTATGCATTATACTTGATGGAAGAAGCGGAAAACATAAACAACTAAACACTCATAGGTGAGAGTAGGATGAGTCTTTGTGATATAACATAGAAACGGGTGACTCAAAGTTGATTATTTTGCTTGGTAAAATATCTAAAAGGTATATGGCCATTTCTAAAGCATGGTGCCAAAAGGAAGGGGTAGATACACCTGAATTAATAAAGTTCGAATAATATTATTAATAGAACATATTTTCCGCTCAAATTTACCATTTTTAGAAGAGGTATATGGGCAAGATAAGCGAAATGCAATTCCATTAAATTCACAAATTTTTCAAAAATTATTATTGGCATATTCACTACTATTATCACATTGAATGATTTTAATTTCCAGTTGAAATTATGTGTTGATGTATGTTATTAGCTTTTGAAAAGTGTGATAAATTTGAGATTTATGTGAAATAGGAAAATTTCCACAAAAAATTAGAATGGTTATACAAGAAAAAAAACATAATATTTATGACCAGACGAGCATAAGACAGAAGATGTCCATATATCACTGTGTAAAATATAAAAAGACAACGAGCTACTATTATTAGACTTTGTGAAAGTAAATTTAATATGTTTACCAAGATGACAAGAATGACAAATATGGGAATGTAATTTCCTAAAGTTATTACATTCAATCAACTTATTATTTTTAAGAGAATGCAAAACATTTTCGCTCGGATGACCCAAACGATCATGCCAAATGGATGATGACAAATCTACAAAGGAGGATGGAGGGTTGTCCTTATTTGTGTTGGTAATGTTAGTAATAGGGTATAGATCACCTCAACTCCCATATCTCATGATTGGCACCTCGTCTGAAAATCCTTCACAGAAAAACAAAATGGGCCAAGTTCAATTGAAACTTTATTTTCTGTAGTAAATGTAATTAAATTTGGTGCATGAAGAACAATTTTTAGGACAAGTGGAGGGTGGCAGGGGGTGATATGTGTGTACTACCAAGACCATAAATTGAGATCGAGTGATCATTTTTGACAATTATTTTATTATTTTTTCTCAAGTTAAAAATAAGACAAAAGATTACCAGACGAGGATGTCATGTGAGAAGTGGCTCCAGTGTCCATGTACCATGATGGGCCTAACTAAGCAAGGTAGAGAGTGTGAATAACATTTCAATGTCATTTGGGTTAGGTGTGTTAACATTGAGTACAACCTGTTGAGGTCCTAGTCCAAGCACTCTACTATGTTGGGTCTATGTGACATTATTTGGCCTATTCTAGTTTGCAGCTGGGTAAAGGCAGGGAGGGAGATTCCACAGAGCTGAATTTTGCCAAGTATTTCAGTGAAATCGATTCCATTATTTCCATTAATGGTGTCCGCATCCATCTCTACCGCAGCGGGAAAAAATTGAGATTAAGCTATTAGTTAACTTAACTCAGAAAAGCAAGAGTCGCCACCGCTCTTTATTGTTTCCAAAGGAATGGGAAAATAACAAATAAAACTCACAGAAGTTTTAAAACAAAACTAATAAAACAAAGAGATAAGGGTACAGAGATTTGTTATGCGAAGGGAAGGTGTTAGCACCCCTCACATCTATATTACTTTATAAGAACCTCTTGAAAATCCACGTTTGGCTTAAAAAAAGGATGTTGTTTGCAAAAGATTGAGGAGATGAGAAAAAGAAATATTTTTTAAGATTTTTGTTTGACAATACTTCCTGAGCCTCGTGCCTACGTACCAACAAAGTGCAATGGAGGATAAAAACCTCGTAGTTCATGGTAACAATAACAAAAGTGTTTGTTTTGATTGACTTTAAACAAATAGACATTTCGTCGTATTCAAGTGGAAAATCGAACTTAATATCTACAATTAATGAGGAAGGAGCATTTGCATCATCTTGAGATGGAGGATTTTTGCTTGGATTAAAATCAACAAGTCTATCACTCAACATCTAAGTGGAAATGTCATAATTTCTCTACATTATTGTGGAAGTATAGGAGTTGCATCACTACAAGAACACAACTAATTACTATCCTTAAAAAAAGGTTTAAAAGAAAAAGGTGCACAAAGGCACAAAAAAC